TTAAGGGATTACAATGAGGGGCCAAATGTCATGAACGCAGCCACATTTTCACAAATTCTTGGAAGCAAGAATGTGCCTCTGTAAATGCTTACTCAAACCCCTTCATCTCACCACGAAATGAGAGAAGGCCGAGTGAGTCATCCGAGGTGACACCACCAGGGACTGGCTGGCTGAGAAAGGCTTCGGCACAAGTATCCCCCGTCCGCGCCACAGTTTGTCTCCTGCTCCAACTTTGTAAGTAAGAGGTCTTTTTCTTACTTAAAAAAACAAATTAACAAAACAGCAACAGAGTCCGGTCAACTAACATAATCTTCTTGGGGCTAAAAGTTGATCAATTTTACTTTTTCATTCAACAAATAACCAAGAGGGCCCTACATATCCACCCTAAATGTTTGTTGAGACGTGAAAGAAATAACAAATAACAAATGTAGCATTCCCTAGACCGCACTACCCAGCGATGAATGGCGTACGTGTGTATCACAGCAGCTTGTGCCTAGGGAAACACGCCTCAGATGTTTGTTGTGGCACTATTTATCGTAGCAAAAAAAAGTGGAAACGGGGCACATGTCCTCAGCAGAAACGGCGTTCATAGTAAAAAACTGGGAACGCTCTAGTTTTCTCTTGGCGAGGGAGTGAGCATAAGCCAACGTATTCATACCCTGGAATTCTCTGTAGCAGCTAAAGTTCCACATGTACCTCAAAAACACAAGGACAGCCCTGACCGGTTTGGCTCTGTGGATAGAGCATCAGCCTGTGGACTGGGGAGTCCCAGGTTCGATTCCAGTCAGGGGCATGTACCTTGGTTGCGGGCACATCCCCAGTGGGGATGTGCAGGAGGCAGCTGATCAATGTTTCTCTCTCATGGATGTTTCTAACTCTCTATCCCTCTCCCTTCCTCTCTGTAAAAAATCAATAAAATATATTTTTTTTAAAAAAACAACACAAGGACAAATGAAAAAGTGCAAGCTGTCTGTACAGAGAAGGACACCATGCATATAAAATTCGAAACACACAAGCTCGCAGGTGGTTTGTGAACAGGTCAGATCCAGAAGTACCAGACATGTGTGAAGACGTTATATGTGACCTTCACATTAGTAGGCACTGAGGGTGAAGGCAGAGGAGGAGGGACGGATAAAGTATTTGGGCTGTAATTTATTTTTATGAGGGGGATAGAAAGCAAATATGGAAAGATTAGCAACTCCTAAAGGTGGGTAGTGGGGGGAAATGGAAGCTTGACTTATATTCTCTTTTGATACTGGAAATATTGTAAATGTTTCATCCTTTTTTTTTTTTTTTTGAAAGGAAGGGAGAGGGACAAAACTCCTCCATCCCATTCCCTGAATTCCAAGGCCCAGTTTCTTTAACCTCCAACCTCAGTTTCTTCACCTTTAAAACGTGAGTGAGAGTGAGTGTACCTCCTCAACGCTGCTCTGAGAAGCGGCCGCTGGAGACAGAGCTGCGTGGCCAGGTACAGGGACTCGGCGGACGAGCAGGGACACTGTGCCAGGCCCCCACTGGGTGGCCAGGGCCTGGCACCCATTCTTTTTATTCAGTTTCACTGATAATAGTAATAAGATTTTTCAACAGGGTTGTGCTCACCACTCCCACCCCCCAAAAGCCATAAAACAAATCTAAGGAATGTAAATGATACAAAAAATTCATTAATGAAGCATCTCAATGAATGGAAATGACCCCCCTCCCCACCCCCCCAACAGCCCAGCATGGACCGCCTCTCCCAATCGATGTTATGCAAGCACTGGTTACAAATGGTAAGAACTGGATAGATGTCCTCACGTGAAATCTATCTTACAAGCCCAAGAGCAAAAATGTGACACTGGTTAGGCATCATTAAGAAATGATGACCAGCCAAAACCGGTTTGGCTCAGTGGATAGAGCGTTGGCCTAAGACTGAAGGGTCCCAAGTTCGATTCCGGTCAAGGGCATGTACCCTGGTTGCAGGCACATCCCCAGTAGGGGGTGTGCAGGAGGCAGCTGATTGATGTTTCTAACTCTCTATCTCTCTCCCTTCCTCTCTGTAAAAAATCAATAAAATATATTTTTTAAAAAAGAAAGAAAGAAACGATGACCAGATTACACCCAGCGGGAATAAAACTCCCAGCCGCACCGGAAACAGGGGCCTGCAGCCTGGGACAGAGTGATCAAAACCCCGCTCCCAGGGATGCACTGTCTCCCCCAGCTCTGTCCAAGCCTCCAGCAGGTGAGCTTCTGCCGAGTCTTGATCCGCAAAAGCGGCTGCTCCCCCAGCCAGACCCTGACAGCCCGGAGTTCACAGTCCCCGGGGAACTGGCCACGGTTCCCCATCCCAGGCGGCTGGGCATTCTCCTCTCCCGGAAGGAACACGCAGATCCATCCAAGTCACCTGGGAGCCTGCGGCCCAGCAAAGCCGCTGGTCCAGGGAGCGAGCGGCCTGGAGCCCGCGGGGCTGCCCCAACCGTCCCTGGAAGGAAAGTTGCGCTGAGCTGGCTCCGTGGAGGAGCGCAAGCTGGATGCACAGCCCGGCCCCGGGGTGTCTCGAAACTCCTCCACTTTACTCGGGGCTCCATCTGCCCATCGGCTGCCTCTCCGAGCTCTGAGCCCCCCTCCTCCCCCCTCCCCCGACACTGCACAAAAGGGTTAAGCGAGGTCCAAACGCAAAGGAGAGTGTGAGCCAAGGGCTGGCTGATGAGCCCTGCAAAGTGTGGAAACTAAACCGCGGGCACAAACCTGCCCACGCCGGCAGCGACGGGGAGGTGGGCTGGGGAGGGGACCCCCCCGGGCAGACGTTGGGGTACGCGGCGGCCCGCGCCCCTCTCGCGGCTCCACATCCTCCCGAAGTCCCCGCTGCCCCGAGCCGCCCGAACT